CAAGACCTTTCATTTGAATACCCACATCAATTTTTTATATATTTATATATATATTACATATATGTATATATGAAAAATATATCAAAAATGCATGTGGGTACTCAAATGAAAGGTCTTGATGAGTGTAACATCAGGATGAGCTTATATCTTAAAAAACGTCAATAGTTAAAAAATTACAGTGCAATTTAACAAAATTCATTACTTAATAAAGCAAAATCTTATTTATTCTCAGTTCACGTCACGGCAGTCACATAGTGACTGCACGGTTGCTAGTATTTTATAATAAATAAACAATAATTGTTTCAATAACAATATTGTTAATAAATTCCGATATAGTGTAAAGGAGCATACCTTGTAATATAAGAAATTTTTTAGTAAAAAATTTCGCCCACATCTAACTTTTAGTCGTAATTTTAATCACACTTAATTATTAATTATTCTTAACAATATTTTTAATAAATTCCGTACAGTATAAAGAAGCATTTGTAATAATTAATACAAAATTTACAATTAAAAGTAAGAAAATATTTTGACAATCTTAATGAGTTTGTAATAATAAATTAACACTTGTTTTTACATAAACCAGACTGGTTATTTTAAATTTTATTTATTTTTATTAAAGTTACCTTTAATTTATTTAATATTAGCAAAAAAAAACTTCTAAAATTGCTAATTGTAATTTTTTATCTAATTAAATCAATAAATATTATTATTGTAATATTATAAAAATTTTGGTAAAAAAATTTTATTTTATAAATAAGTTTGGGTAATAATCAATAATTTTTATCAAAATAATAATTATAACTAATTTCTTCAATTAGTGTCATTAGAATTACTATTTTTAATTATTTTTAACACTTACCTCAATATGTTTTGCACTTGTGATTCTTTTGACGCTGTTTTTTGAGGTTAGGTTAGTTGCAATTTTTTTTCTACGCATGCGCAGTATAATTTAATATTGCGCATGTCAAAAATGAATTCGAAAAAATTTTTAAAATAAAAATGAATGTTTTATTTTTATTTTTGAATTTTAGCGCCAAAAAAAAGCGCGCCAATAATTATGGCGGGAATTTAAAATCAGGAATTTTAAAAAAGGTAAATAATTAATAATGTGGTACTTTATTAAATTAATAATTATGTTTAACGTTGATTATTGTTTTAATTTTAAATATATAGATAAAATTTGTTTTATTATTAATATTCAATTATTGTTTACAGTAACAATCTCATTAGTGAATTATTTTTAAAAATTAGTGGGGGTAAAATAATATTTTTTTAAATGTCAATGGTAAATATATATTAATAATAACAATAATATAAATTAAAATAATAAATTTCGGATCTCGCGAATTAAAAGTTAATGAGATCTATTTAATAAAAATAAATACTAACACACTAGCGCCGCCATATTGTTAACAATAACGACCGCATATTGTTAACAATAATTATTTTTAAATAATATCGGCTTTAGTGTGAAGAAAATTTCAGCTAAAAAATCGGAAGAAATGATTTTTAAAAAATCAAATTCAACTAATGACAATAATAATAACAATTATTTCTAGTACCGCTACTTATACATTTAAAATTCAATTATCTAGGGTTATTATCATTGTCTATTATTATTATTATTATTATTTGTTAATGTATATATTAAACTAATTACTGTATATATTATATATTTATTATATATTATTAATGTTGTACGAAGATAATTGTTGCTATTATTAGTATTATTATTATTATTATTAAAAAGAGATATGAGATCGCTAGACATGATTTAGCATTATTACGCACAGATACTCGCATTTTGTTTTAATAATTCAACTAATTTCATTTTAATTGCTTTCGAGTTGGTTTATTTTCTTAATATCAAATGCGTTATTCATTTTTTTCTACCACTGGTTTTAATACTATTTTTTATTGGACGGTATTTTTAATTATAGTATTCGCCAATGAGTTTTTTAATCACAATATGGCCGACACGCGCCAATAGTTTGCAAACAATCCGTTATTTTAACAAAGTTAGTTTTTTTCGTCTTGGGGTTTGATTTTTTTATTTTTTTCTGCTTTATAGAGTCAAAGAATAAAATTATTCCATATATTTACTCAATTTTAATCAAAAATTCTAACATAACCTCTCCAGGAACAAAGTAATTTTTTACCCTTATAAAATTAATTTTTTTTTATTTTTTCTTTTATTCCAGCGTTAAAAAATAATATTATTCCACATTTTCACTAAATTTTAATTAAAAATTTATAAAATTATTAAAAAATTCAAACATAACCTCTCTAGGAACAAAGCAATTTTTTATTCATTTAAAATTAATTTTTAAAAAATTTTTCTTCTTTTTCAAAGTCAAAAAATAAAATTATTCCATATTTATAATAAATTTTAATAAAAAATCTATAACATCATTAAAAAATTCAAACATAACCTCTCCAGGAACAAAGTAATTTTTTACCCTTTTAAAATTAATTTTTAAAAATTTTTTCTTCTTTTTCAAAGTAAAAAAATAAAATTATTCCATATTTATAATAAATTTTAATAAAAAATCTATAACATCATTAAAAAATTCAAACATAACCTCTCTAAGAACAAAGTAATTTTTAACCCTTTAAAAATAAATTTTTAAAAATGTTTTCTTCTCTTTCAGAGTCAAAAAAACAAAACAATCCCAAATTTTTGCTAGAATTAAAAAAAAATCCCAAGAAAATAAACCAGAAAGCAAAATTACACTAACGAATATCCGGGTCTGCAATAAATCATGCCTGTATATATTTATATATAATACGATATCTTCGTTGTCGTTAAACGCAACCTAAAAATTCATCTAATATATCTTTAATATTTATATACAATATATATTTTTCAATAATAACTATATCGTCGATAAATTTGTACAATTAAAAATGACCTGTACAAACGGATGACAAAGCAACGAATTAAAACCAGCATATTGCGCGTTTGTTTAAATATAAAAAGCGATTGTTTTAAACTTCGCGATCACATTGTTTATTGAAATATATTAATATTTTTTTTTTTTTTTTTTTTTTTTTTTTTTCTGGCAGTATTAAAACATTGGTGTCTTTATTTATGTTTATATTCCTTCATTTTAACCCGCCAACAATAATCTAACCAACAAATTTGGTACCATCAAAAAATGCTTCAGCGAAACAAAATAATTAGCTAGATCCTTAATTAATTTACGATCTACGAAGACGCCGGGGCCTGGACGGCCTGTCTCATGCGTTCGCGATGAACCTGTTGCAGGCTTTTTTCCACTTGCACTGAGTGCACCATTGTTCGCGGTTCTCCATTCCGTAGACCTTCCGACATTTCTTGGTATCTCCTCTAGCCCGACGCGGCATCGAGTTTAACGGAGTTTTTCCTAGAGTAGCCGTCACTGCGGTGACAATGTTCATGTTCTGGTGGTTCAATTGTCTGGCTTGTTTCATCGACTTTATCGGCGTCGCCTGGAAAGAAAGTAAGGTTAAAAACTCACTTGGAACAGAGGGGTGGGGGGAGGGTGTTAAAAAATAATGGTAGGTCAAAATGCGTTCAAAGGGTGTTGGAAAGTGTTCTCAGGATAATGTACACCAAATTTGAAGTTGATCGGCAGCTTAGTTTGCTTTTGGGAACCAAAAATGTAAGTGGTCTCACGCAAATTTAAGATTTGGGTTTTTCAATTGTTCCGGGGTGGGGGAAGGGTGTAAAAAAATAATAGTAGGTCAAAATGCGGTCAAAGGGTGTTATAAGGTATCTTAAGGAAGGTGTATATAAAATTTGAAGTTGATCTGAGAGGTAGTTTGGTTATAGGAACCAAAAATGTAAGTAATTCAAGGCGCAAATTTAAGAATTAGGCTTTTTAATTATTATTCTGGAGGGGGGAGGGTGTAAAAAAATAATAGTAGGTCAAAATGCGGTCAAAGGAGCTTAGGAGGGGTCCTAAAGAGAGTGTATGTAAAATTTGAAGTTGATCTGAAGCTTAGTTTACTTTTGGTAACCAAAAATGTAAGTGGTCTCATGCAAATTCAAGATTTGGGCTTTTTAATTGTTTTGGGGTGGGGGAAGGGCGTAAAAAAAAATTATGGAGGTCAAAATGCGTTCAAAGGAGCTTAGGAGGGATCTTAAGAAGAGTGTATATAAAGTTTGAAGTTGACCCAAGGGGTAGTTTGGTCATAGGAACCAAAAATGTAAGCAGTCTGAGATGTAAGTCTACATTTAGGGCTTTTTAATTGCTCTGGGGTGGGGGAAGGATGTAAAAATTCTATGATAGGTCAAAATGCGTTCAGAGGAGCATAGGAGGGGTCCTAAAGAGAGTGTATGTAAAATTTGAAGTTGATCTGAAGCTTAGTTTACTTTTGGTAACCAAAAATGTAAGTGGTCTCATGCAAATTCAAGATTTGGGCTTTTTAATTGTTTTGGGGTGGGGGAAGGGCGTAAAAAAAATTATGGTAGGTCAAAATGCGTTCAAAGGAGCTTAGGAGGGATCTTAAGAAGAGTGTATATAAAGTTTGAAGTTGACCCAAGGGGTAGTTTGGTCATAGGAACCAAAAATGTAAGCAGTCTGAGATGTAAGTCTACATTTAGGGCTTTTTAATTGCTCTGGGGTGGGGGAAGGATGTAAAAATTCTATGATAGGTCAAAATGCGTTCAGAGGAGCATAGGAGGGGTCCTAAAGAGAGTGTATGTAAAATTTGAAGTTGATCTGAAGCTTAGTTTACTTTTGGTAACCAAAAATGTAAGTGGTCTCATGCAAATTCAAGATTTGGGCTTTTTAATTGTTTTGGGGTGGGGGAAGGGCGTAAAAAAAATTATGGTAGGTCAAAATGCTCCGGGGTGGGGGAAGGGTGTAAAAAAATAATAGTAGGTCAAAATGCGGTCAAAGGGTGTTATAAGGTATCTTAAGGAAGGTGTATATAAAATTTGAAGTTGATCGGCAGCTTAGTTTGCTTTTGGGAACCAAAAATGTAAGTGGTCTCACGCAAATTTAAGATTTGGGTTTTTCAATTGTTCCGGGGTGGGGGAAGGGTGTAAAAAAATAATAGTAGGTCAAAATGCGGTCAAAGGAGCTTAGGAGGGGTCCTAAAGAGAGTGTATGTAAAATTTGAAGTTGATCTGAAGCTTAGTTTACTTTTGGTAACCAAAAATGTAAGTGGTCTCATGCAAATTCAAGATTTGGGCTTTTTAATTGTTTTGGGGTGGGGGAAGGGCGTAAAAAAAATTATGGTAGGTCAAAATGCGTTCAAAGGAGCTTAGGAGGGATCTTAAGAAGAGTGTATATAAAGTTTGAAGTTGACCCAAGGGGTAGTTTGGTCATAGGAACCAAAAATGTAAGCAGTCTGAGATGTAAGTCTACATTTAGGGCTTTTTAATTGCTCTGGGGTGGGGGAAGGATGTAAAAATTCTATGATAGGTCAAAATGCGTTCAGAGGAGCATAGGAGGGGTCCTAAAGAGAGTGTATATAAAATTTGAAGTTGATCGGCAGCTTAGTTTGATTTTGGTAACCAAAAATGTAAGTCGTAAATTAAATATTAGGGCTTTATAATTATTCTGGAGAGGGGGGAGGATGAAAGTGCTGGATCTCAGCTTCTACTTGTCCGATTTAATACAAATAAAATTAAAATGACTCTTCTTACAATTTTAAACAATTTCTAATATTATTTTTAGTTAAAAAAAATTTACCGGCGAGCGAGGACGAATTGGTGAAATTCTAAAATTGAAGAATCGATCCTTGGAAATTTGACCAGTAGAATTGTTGGTAGGAACAACCACCGCAGGTGGTTGTTTAACTTCCAGACGAAGTTGTTTCTGGTACTCTGGATCCTCGTGGGGAGGACGTGCCATGTCGCGGTGGGACATTGTGGGTGGTGAGCTCATGTGATTAACCGCGATTTCTTGGTAATAAAATTCTTCCTCATGATCTGACAAAGCTTCGTCTTCATCATCGTCATCCTGGACTTTTTTCGGGCTGTAATATTGGGCAATGATAACAAAGTCTGGTTTTCGTCAATACTAGTATCGATTAGCGCATACTTACCCAAGATGTGTCTGGCGGACGTGTTTCTCAATCTGGGGACATGTTGTACGTATTTCTGTGCAACCTGGCCAAGTACACTTGAATACCATCGAAACCGTTTCCTGAAATTAAAAAAAATGCGAGATTTTAGGAAAAATTGCATTTTTTCTAATCCAAAAAATAGCAACAGAAGCATCTTGAAGCATCTAGCCGTGGGATTGACGATGGTTGGTGGGTATGAGGATAAAAAGGCTGATGCCGGCCGGCGTTTGGGGCCAACGTCCGGAGAATCAAAACAAACCGTGCGCTTGCGTGTATCGTGTACATAAACGACACTGAGTGCGAGAGGGGCTCGGTTGTGCAGTGAGGGTCGGTCGTTGAACCTTCTTTGTGCGCCCAGAACCCCATCAAGCCTCAATATCTGTTCGTACGACTTTAACTCCTATCCGAGTGCTCAACAGCTTGTAGCTTGTTGTAGCTCCGAGTCTCTATATATTCACACACATATATTCATACCGCGAATCTACGTCGTTACAAACCAGCTTGCCCCGAAGCACCTTCACAACCCAGCATTACCAATTCCGTAGGTTCTCTTCCCCCCCCCCCACTCGACTCCAGAAAATATACAGGATCTGTATCATTAGAAAGTTAACAGCTGGTAAACTTTTTCTTCCATTTTCCATAAAATCCCTACTTCTTTTTTCTACTACTACGCTGTTACTATGACGCATTATACTTTTTACTCGGGAATTTAACTGCGCAGTAAGTTGTACTTGGTTACCCGAGGCCCCGAGTTAATACGAGCCACGAGTGCAAAGAACTTCCAGGTATCCGGCCAACAAAGAGGCTCCTTAGTAAATCTAAGGCTACTTTTTGAGGGATCACATTTTTTTTGGATTTAAGAAATACAATAAAGGTCTTTGATCCTAAGCTAGCTTAGATTGTTTTCATGGGAGAAAACGGCAAATTATATGCTACTACGCAGTTGTTCAAAACAAACTTTTTATTTATGATTTGAAATGATTATCTTTATGTTTGGTGTATATCTTAGTATTTAAATCAGATGCTTTTAAATTATTTATAATCAGTATTATTGAAGATGAGAAAGATTTGACCTTGTATCTTGTAAAATATTGACAATTTTAAAGATATAAGCTCATCTTGATGTTACACTCATCAAGACCTTTCATTTGAGTACCCACATCAATTTTTCATATATTTATATAAATCGTATATATGTATATATGAAAAATATATAAAAAATGCATGTGGGTACTTAAATGAAAG